AGGCTACTCTGAGTATTCAAGCTTCTTCCTGAAGCGTCTTGCGTAGAAAGAACCATTGTAGGAAGGATGGTTGCATTGCAGGCAAAGTGGAGACTCTACCTAAAATACAGACATGTGCGTGTGTAGTTTTCTCATACAAAATGTTTCTGATTCTGAAAACGTCTGAGAGTCCAGGCAGTACTAAGCAAACGAGCATGTTCCCCTGCCAAGATCTGTGTATACCACTCACTTCACCTGGGACTGATTTCAGTTCCGTGCAAGCCCTTGCTGAACACTCCACAGCTGTGCTTACCCAAATATTAAGATAGAGACATCTTTTCTTGCACTTACCTAAATTCCTGTAATCATTTCATTAATGAAGTGCAGCTGGAGCAAAGATTTCACTTATCAACGAAAGTAACCAACTTAAGGGTTTATTGCCAAGCATTTTAAAGATTTGGTCAATTTCTACTTAAATTTATATAGCAACGTCAACATCTTCAGCCAAATATCTCCCAGCTCCCTTAAAATGTATAGCAACAGTTCCCTCAAAAGATGTTTTTATTTTGTAATCAAAGAAACAGCTACAGAAGCACACTAATAACCATTCATTATTTGATTTCTTCCTCTCAATGCTGACTTTAAGATAACCTGAACATTTCTGACTTTATTCGTCAGAAATATTGGGAAATTTGTGTGTTCTCTTTTGCCACATACGCTGAGCGGCCTTCGAACAGTCAAAGCTGCTCTGTCAGTTCACCTGAACAAGTTTATAAAAACAACTGGAGAGACTCAACCATCTGTCCTTAGACTCTCAGTTCACCTCTATGTATTTTTTTTTACATTTATTTGTCTAGGGGGGGGGCACATGATTTTGATGCATAGCTGAAAGGAGAGGACAACCTACAAGAGTCTGCCTTCTCCTTCCACCATGTGAAATCTGGGGTTGAGTTTAGGTCATAAAGCTTGGTTGCAGGTGTTGTGAACTGTGTCTTTGTTAGATTTTTTTTTTTATTGCTATGAGGAGACACCACGATCCCAACAATTCTTATAAAGAAAAATATTTAATTGGGGCCGGCTTACATTTATCACTGTGGAGGGAAGCATGATAGCATTCAGCCAGACGTGGTGCTGGAAAGGTAGCTGAGCATTCTACATCTAGCTCCACGGCCAGACAGTAGGTCACACTGAGCATCTGAAACTTCAAAACCCACCCACCAGTGACAAACTTTCTCCATGAAAGCCATACCTATTCGAACAAGGCCACACCTCCCAATAGTGCCTTTCTACAGGCCTATGTGGACCATTTTTTTCAAACTGATACATACATCAGCTGTTTTACAGCTTTCTTGAATATTATTTACTTTTTCTCATAAAATCATCCTAAAACTTGCTATATTTAAAATATGGTATAATATATTTAATATTTAAATATAGTCATTCGTTAAAAATAGTTCACTGTAAAGGACCTGGTTCACTTTCAGTTAATTCTCCTTCCTTCCTTTCTCCCTCCCTTCCTCCTTTTTCTCCTCCTCCTTTCTTATTCTCTCTGTTTTATATTTTCTTTCTGCTGAATTTCAGACATGTGTCTAACACCACGGAGCTGGCTGTATTTCTTCACTTTGTTTAATGGAGCCGTCGTAAATTTGTCAGTTTTACAAGTGAACGCATATGCGTAGGAGATGCATAAAGTGTGGGTCCAGCTTGACATTAAATCCTCCATTTTAAAAGTTTTATTTTATTTTTCCAGAAAACTAGCTATGCTAAGAAATCATTTTTAAAAGACGCCATGTTCAAGTGAAGGAAGAATATTTTAACTTGGCATTTTCCACGTTCCTCGAATTTCCAAACTGTATGACCCCCCTCGTGATGCAGAAATTTAATGTGAGCTCAGCCGTGCTTGAGCTCAATGATGTTTGCTATAGACTTTCTGCAATACTACCAGTTCAAGAACAGATTGTCTGACCTTTTGATCATCGTGCCATGGAAGAGTAAATACAACAGGGTTTGGATATCCACTTACCTGTAGCTAGTCTTTGCCAGTATAATAAGTGATCAACAGTGGACAGTCATGAAATTTGCTACTTCCAGTAGTAAAGAATTCTGCTGAGTGTCTGAGTGTCCTGATAGTCTATAGTTTACTCTCGTAGCCAGAGCGTCTACCAAATTTCTTGTTGGAATTTAAGTATATCATGTTCGTTACGTTTTCAAAATTTCCAGTGAAGAAAAAAAGCATAGTTGGGAATCAGATATTTCTGGATTCTGCTTAATCCCTCCTACCTTCTAGTTGCTGCCTAGATTATAAGTCACTTTATAACTGACTCTAGACTTTCTTCACAACTTAAACTCACCGGAATTAAGTTGGAACTTACAGATTCTATCATGATAGTTTTCCTTTTAAAAACTGCTGCCCTGTGTTGCCTCTGTAGTGGGATCACATTCCTCACCCTAGCCAGCTCCATTTCTTTGCCCACAATGTAGAAATACACCTGCCCTCTTGCTGCCTCCTCTCCTCTCCTCTCTGCTTTTGAAGCATACATGCCCACATTTAAGGACTGTCTTTGAAGCCGGGATCCTCATTCTGGAAACTATTTAGGAGAGCACCAGTATCACCGGTGTGTGTGATTCTCCACAGCGGTGGCGTTCTATGGCATCGGCCATGATACAGACAGAGGATGGAGCCTTCAACTCTACCCTCGGGATATCCACTGCAGGGCTTTCCAGCAGCTTTCTTCATCTATAGGTACATGCTACCCGCCTATGTCTCTGTATCTTTCTGTAAATACATCAATTTGGTTTTCAAAAGTACTGTCTTCTCTTCATCATGGTTTTTATGATAATGGGCCATTATGTCCAGAGAGAAGGAAGAAAAATCCAAAAACAATATACAGTAAGAAACATTATTGAAATCATTGAGTTTAAGTTTTGGAATGCAGAAATTTCAAAATAAGAAATGGCCTGAATTGAATTAAAAAGAAAAAGAAGAAGAAGAAATGGGAGGTTGACGAACGCTGGGGTTTCATGGCATGACCCTGCTTCTGAAGCCACCTTAACCAAAGTGAAGAGTATCACAGGGCCTCCAGTCAACAGATTTATGGGCAGAGAGTTAACACGAACCCACTCTGTTCCTTCTACATGCCTGCATTTTTCCCTTCACAAGTGCTGGAAAAATAAACAATCCAGATGATTTTGAAGAAAATTAAAGACTGGAGGAAATGGTCGGTTCATATCTCCTTGTTCTTCCTATTGCTGCCACTGGAATTATGCAGAGCACAGCTATTGAGAAATTCAAGACCAAAGTTACATGTGCCTTCCTGAATATCACCATGTGCAGAAACTGAGAATAAATATGATGACTGCTCATGAATATCTACTCCCAAGAGCAATGTTAGCTTTTTACTTAAAAAAAAAAAAAAAAAACAGTCCCACGCAGTTCCACCCTTTATTTTAGATAACTGCACCTGGGCTTTTTTTCAAAAGTAGCTCCAGGGAAGGAGGGGCCATGGTACGACATGCCTAGGATCCACTCCTGCTTAGCCGAGGCTCCCATTAGAATACCATTTGGAAGCCTATTTGACAACAATAGGTCTTAGCAAACAGATCGTAAAAACAAATTATACATATGGATACATATATAACGTACATTTAAAAATGTATTCAACACTTTACATGAGTTCTCTTGAAGAGTTCTTTTGAATAGACTAAGTTGTACAAAACTGGAAAAAATATGTTTTGGCTCCTAAGCTATGTATTTCTCTTACTCAGTTTTTCCCATTTCCATTTACTCAGATGTTCACTTATGGGCTTTTAAATCAAGTGTACACTATGAGAGAAGATCTCTGGTAGAGTCTAAAGGATGATGACTTTTCTCTCAGTCTACTGTCTACCTCAGCTGTTTTTAATTCAATCGGAACTTATATCAATATAGAAACAAATGTAAGCCAATAAATATCTCCTAACATGATCAAGAAAATATACACGCCAGGTATATTGAGTTGAAAATGGAATCTATGGCTGTGCTTTGCGGGGGAGGACACAGGCAGGAGGGAAAATTGCTCACATTTTCCTATAGAATATGACTGCTCCTTACATCCATCAATGGTGATCTTAGTCTCACATAACCATCATCTCACAGTTGAAGTTGCTAATGAGTGTTTTGTGTCTTAAAGTCATTAACAGTGGCATGCTACTGTTAATGACTGTAAAGAGTATAAAAGTACTTCAAACATCAGGATGTAGCTAGCAAACTTGGGTAACTGTTTTCTCAATTAAAAACTCACGGCCATATTAGTACGTCTGAAACTACTTCCTCCTTTGTAAAGAGTGAGCATAGTTGAAAATAACGTGGCACGTGATAGTTCTCAAACAGCAAGTTATTATTTCGAACCCTGTAGTGGGTTTATTATTATGTTCACCCTTTTAAAAAGTGCATTTTTACACTATAGCCTGGTGGTACTGATCCTAGTCCTTGGGAGACTGAGGCAAAAAAGACAAGGAATTCAGGCCATCTTTAACTATACAGTGAGTTGGAAGCCAGCTTGAGCTTCAAGAAACTTTGTCTCAATTTTTTTTTTCTTTTTAACAACTGCAACCCAGTTGTTAAAACTTGCCAGTTACTTTTTCAAAATTTATATTTCGGGGACTGAGATGTGGACAGGGTTATTTTATTATTGAAGGCTTCTTGGTGTGAAGTCTCTCTCAGTTCTCCTAATGAGCACGAAATGAAGAACTAGGCTCAGCTGAACCTGTCTTTCACGTGTTAGTGCTCTGTAGCATCCTTATACAACTGCCTCAGGGCATCAGGCCAAAAGAAGGAATAGCTTTTTGATTGGGCAAATTTTATAGCTCATGAGTGTAATGCCACGCTCTTTCGAGTTGGACATTTTTGTTGTTGTACTACGTAATAGTAAACACTCAAATGTTATGATGGAGGCACCGCAGTCCTCAGCACCAGATAGCTCAAGCGGACAAAAGACCTCGTAACTCACAAGCATCATTCCCTCCCCATAAATTACCAACAGCTAGGGATGACAGTGAGGAGCTGACCGCCATCCATTTCCACATTGCCATTCAGCACTCAGAAAGTCTACCAGAAACGAAGGAGGAAGTGATTTATGGTGTGTTGCAGGACGCCACGCTTGCACAGTACTGCATGCGGAGCAGAGATCAATTCGTGGCTTACAAATTTGTCACAGGACGGTGCGTCTTGCAGTCTGCCACCTTCAAATTAGGTGTCATGATGAGAGAAAAAATATGGCAGTGCCTTGGGAAGAAAATACCACGTTTTGATGAGGATCTGGAAATGGTCTGGGAGAGTGAGAGGTGGGATACCAGGAGTCTCATTTGATCACGGCATCTGGTCTAGGATCTAGGAGATAGAATGGAGAGAGAAAACACACAGAGGAACAGAAACTCTGACAAACAAATCAAAAGAAAGCCTGGGACTGTAGGTGTACAAAAACAAAACTGGCTATCAACAGGGAAACGGTCCTCATATGTCTTTGCTATAGTCTCCATATTGCAGAGAAAATCACTTTGTAACTCCACTATTCAAATAAATCCATGTAGATAAAACACCATGATCTGAATATGTATCTGCAAATGTTAATTTTATGGACTTTGTATTTCTGTTACTTTGATGGTGAGGCAAATCAAAGAGTGAACAGTTTTATTTCTACATCCATATCATTTATAAATTATTCTTATTTCATAGCTTAGACTTAAAAATCTACCTTGGACTAATGAGCAGGACAAGTAAATAAAGAATGCTCTTCTAATGAATATATACATCATTCTGCAGATCTGCTTGTACAGATATTTGCGGAACGTTTGTGTATTTGATTTTCATTTATTCCCATTGCTTACATCAATATCTCAAGATAGAGGCAAGTACATAAGGGCTTTTCTTTCCATTTCTCTTGGTGTAGGCATAGAACAAAGGGGCATATGGACAATTAAATGTATACTTTTTATTAGTTTTTATTTTTTTTAAGCTGGAATACAAGTAATGGGCATTTTCACACATATATGTCAGTATTCTATGTTCTCATCCATTCTCTTTTCCACTCTCCTCCCCCTCCTCCTGCCCTCCTGCTGGTCTCCTTCCTCCCAAATAGTGCTCTCTCTTAGTCTTTCATGTTACCCATATTCCATTTTTGACCTTTTCCTCTTTTTTATATCCCTCTTCCATTCCTTTTGTTTTTTTTTTTTTCTTACCTCTCATTGTCCCTTTTACTACTTCTCTGACTTTGAAGTCTAGGTTTTAATTTGACAGGTGATAATTGCTTAGACTTCACTATCAGCAAACATCTCAGATTTTTCTACACATTCTTAAGTTCAGAGTGTGCAAATCTGAATTCTTCATTTTTTGTTTCTAAATCTAGTTCTAATTTTAGCTAAAGGTAAAAAAAAAAAATCACCTCCTGCTCCAGGTACTCATATTACATGTCTGTTGTCTTCTGCATTACATCTACGTTATGCTTCCTCATGCCCTATCAATTATGACTCAGAAACACCTAAGTGCACTGGTTCTCTTTTTCATTAGCGCATCCCAGGATCTGGTCACTGCACCTATTTCCCCCCTGAAGCAACAGCCTCTCCATTGAGCTTATCATTTCCGCTCTTCATCCTGGTGGTCTTGGAAATTTATATATATATATATATATAATTTATATAATTTATATATATATAATTCCGTAACATCTGTGTTTCCCAATTTCAGACAAGATTAAACTTCCAATCTTTAAAGCTGCACATGAGTCTCTTTAGCTCCTGGCCCCTATCTCAATCTTCCACTCCAAAGTACAGAACACCATCCTCCTCCCTCACTAGGCACAGCATCTAGTTTTGTTTTCTTTTTTCTTTTCTTGTACTGATCTCTATACTCAGAGCTTCTTTTCCTACAATGTGATCCAGAGTACCTTATCTTCTTTTAAATACCACATCTAAAGGGAATTTATTAATTCCTAATCTTAATGTGTCTGCCCCGATATCCCTTCTCATAGCACTCCACATTTGTATGATACAAATTTATAATTACTAGGTTTGTGTTCAGTTGCTGAATACAAATGAATGCCCATTCAGCTGTGGCATTCATGAAGTTAAGCACTTTGTTCAGCGCTGTAATCCTGCATGTATCTTAGTCTCTGATGTAGGATGTGCACTTGCCACCTCTCTAGTGACGTGTGCACATGTTCATTACCCGGCCTTCTACTCCTAAAAGGAGAATGAATTTGTATTTAATTTGAACTGTGATTAGTGAAACTAGAAAAACATTGTTTCTATTTTTCTGACTTTGCTACAAATATTAACTATGATTAGGTGCACACATTAATGAACTCCTTGACATTTCTGAACATTAATACATTGTGTGAGATAGTGTCTCACTCTTAACCCAGGATGACGTGAACTCATTTGTTTCCCAGGCTAGCCTCATGCTCCTGGCAACCCTCTTGCCTCATCCTCCCTGTGCTAGTATTACAGGAGTAAGCAATGACTCCTAGCCTAATGTACTGTGTTTTAAATGCAAACTGACCCCTTACTATCATTGCATTCCTTCTCTTCCAGCTCCCATACATTTCCCCTTATAACAGCAGTATGGCTTCTATTTTTATTTTCAGGTCATCTGTGCTTACTTGTTTGTCTCTCCTGAGAGAGTATGTATAAATTTCTTTCCATGGCCGGTTTACTTTGTTTAATATAATGATCTCTGAGTAGATCCATCTTTCTTTTTTATGTATAATTTTATTTTATTTTTTTATTAATTACACTTTATTCACTTTGTATCCCCCCATAAGCCCTTCCCCCCTCCCCTCCTGGTCCCACCCTCCCTCCCCTTTCTGCATGCATGCCACTCCCCAAGTCCACTGATAGGGGAGGTCCTCCTCTCCTTTCTTCTGATCTTAGTCTATTAAATCACATCAGGAGTGGCTGCATTGTCATCTTCTGTGGCCTGGTAAGGCTGCTCCCTACTCAGGGGGAGGTGATCAAGGAGCAGGCCAATCAGATTATGTCAGAGGCAGTCCCTCTTTCTCATTACTATGGAACCCACTTGGACACTAAACTGCCATGGGCTACATCTGTGCAGGGGATCTAGGTTATCTCCATGCATGGTACTTGGTTGGAGTATGAGTCTCTGGGAAGACCCCTGTGTTCAAATTTTCCAGTTCTGTTGCTCTCCTTCTGAGGTTCCTGTCCTCTCCAGATCTTACTATTTCCCACTTCTTACATAAGATTCCATGCACACTGCCCAACAGTTGCCCATAAGTCTCAGCGTCTGCTTTGATAGTCTGCAGGGCAGAACCTTCCAGAGGCCCTCTGTGGCAGGTTTCTAGGTTGTTTCCTGTTTTCTTCTTCTTCTGATGTCCATCCTCTTTGCCTTTCAGGATGGGGATTGAGCATTTTAGTCAGGGTCCTCTCTCTTGATTAGTTTCTTTAGATGTACAGATTTTAGTAGGTTTATCCTATGTTATATGTCTATATGAGTGAGTATATACCGTGTGTCTTTCTGCTTCTGGGACAGCTCACTCAAGATAAGCCTTTCCAGGTCCCACCATTTACCTGCAAATTTCATGATTTCCTTATTTTTCATTGCAGAGTAATACTCCATTGTGTAGATTGTACCACAATTTCTGCATCCATTCTTCAGTTGAGGGGCATCTGAGCTGTTTCCAGCTTCTGGCTATTACAAATAAAGCTGCTGCAAACATGGTTGGGTAAATGTCCTTATTGTGTACTTGAGCCTCTTTTGGATATATGCTTAGGAGTGGTATGGCTGAGACCCATCTTTCTAAAACTGACAGACAGTTTTGTTCTTCTTGCTGGTTGAATAATCCTCCATTGTGTACATATGACACATTTTGTTTTCTCTTTCAGCCATTTGATGGGTACCTACATTGTTTCCATATTTTGGCAATGTTGAGTATTGCTGCAACATGCATATGTAGATGTTTCTTTTGTGTGATGATTTCACTACCTGATTCAGTTATTGGCCCCGGAGTGGTTTAGCTAGATCACTTGATAGCATATTTTTTTAGGTTTCTTAAGAATCTCCATACTAATTTCCATAGCATCTCTGTGAGTTTATGCTCCTAATCATGGTATATAATTCTTTTATCTCCATATGCTAATTAATTTATTAAATTTTTATTTTAAGTATTATTATTTATTACAATTTATTCACTTTTATCCCCGCTGTGGCCCCCTCCATCATCTCTTCCCAATCCACCCTCCCTTCCTCTTCTCCCCCTATTCCCCTCCCCTAATCCACTGCTAGGAAGGAATTCCTCCTCCTCTATCTGACTCTAGCTTCTCAGGTCTCATCAGGATTGGCTGCATTGTCTTCCTCTGTGGCCAGGCAAAGCTAAAGCCCCAAGGGGGAGGTAATTAGAGAAGCAGCCACTGAGTTCACATCAGAAACATCCCCTGTTCCCCTTATTAGAGAACCCACTTGGAGACTGAGTGTAAGGGCTACATCTAAGCAGGGGTATTGGGTTTTCTCCATGCATGGTCCTTGGTTGGGGTATCAGTCTCTGCAGGGCACCCAGAATCCACTTTTGTTGTTTTGTTTTGTTTTGTTTTGTTTTGTTTTGTTTTGTTTTGTTTGGCTCTGTTAGTCTCCATTTCTAGCTCCTGTCCCCTCCAGGTCTTTCTATCTACCCTGTCTTTCGAAAAATTCTATGCACTCTGCCCAAAGTTTGGTTATGAGTCTCAGCCTCTGCTTCAATACCTCAATAATAGAGTCTTTCAGAGACCATGTATGGTAGGCTCCTGTCCTGTTCCCTGTCTTCTCCTGCTTCTGATAGCTATAGCATTTGCCCTTTTAAATAAGGATTGAGCATCTTCCCTAGGGTCTTCTTTGTTGTTTAGCTTCTTTAGGAGTATAGATCTTAGTATGTTTATCCTATGTTATATGTCTACTTACCATTTATGAGTGAGTATAAACCATGTGTGTCTTTCTGCTTCTGGGTTACCTCACTCAGGATGATCTTTTCTAGTTCCCACCATTTGCCTGCAAATTTCATGATTTCCTTGTTTTTAATAGCTGAGTAGTACATTGTGTAAATGTACCACAATTTCTGTATCCAGTCCTCCACTGAGGGACACCTAGGTTGTTTCCAGATTCTGACTATTATAAATAGAGCTGCTAAGAACATGGTTGAACTAATGTCAACTTGTTGTATACTTGAGCACATATCAGATATATGCCTAGGCGTGGTATAGCTGGATCTTGAGGAAGTGCTATTCCTAGTTGTCTGAGAAAGCACCAGATTGATTTCCAAAGTGGTTGTACAAGTTTACATTCCCACCAGAAATGGAGGAGGCTTCTCCTTTCCCCACATCTTCTCC